ATTCTGTGCTGGTTGGTATATGTTACTAACGAAAATAAACAATTTTTGTAGTTTAATTTAGAAAATATTAGTTAGCTTGTAAGAAACTTGTTAATAGTTACTACGGATACATTTTTTTTTCTTATATAAGCAGATAAATTTTACGAATACAATTACTCCTTTGAAAATTTTTAATTTAAAGTGTCTATCGTCTTAATTGTTCTCAAAGTCAACATCGTGCAAACCTTTAAGATTTTAAATAATTTTTTAAATAATCCATAACGATGAAAACGAAGACTCAGAGATTATTTGCTCAACTCAAACGTTTACGTGAAAATCCTACTTATCCGTTTATAACGCCATCTTTCGTCCATATACAAAACTTTAATAATAACAAGTCTGCTATTGTGTCTACTAGTAAGAGTTTACCAAAGGCCAATCCAAAATGTTCGTCAGCAAAATCTGTATCAGAAAAACAGCAAATGAAGAATCCACAAGACGTTCCTCTTAAATCGACTTCGGCACATATTAAAAAATCATCTCCAAAGAACAAAGTCGTCGTCGATGATAAGGAAAAGGACGTAGTCGGACCCCAACCAAGATCAAGTACGAAAAAGCATACATCTAAGTCGGAAATTACGAAGGAACCATCTAAAAATTCATGCTCGTCGAAAAGACCAAACGTTTTCGACGACAATGGGTCTTCTAAGAGACCTAAACACTCGAGATCTGTCGTGTTACGCCCTAGTGCGGATGGGTCTGAAAAAACAATAATCCCAAAGGCCATTTCTTCAACTTCAGATTCGGTAAATGAATCGCAGACCTCGCAAGATTATAAAAACGATTATAATGGTATAATTTTGATTTATTCGCTACGAAACACATTTGCAATATTTGTATTTTTAATTTCTATATATTTTTTAATTCAACAGGATTTTCCTCTAGCTCAGCACAACCTACTGACCAGCGTAAAAATTTGCCCACTAAGAAAAGCTCGAANCCAGCATAAAAATCTGCCCAAAAAGAAAAGCTCAAACACAATCTTGGAGGGAAAACCGTCTAAGAAAACTGTTTACTCGAGCGCCGTCGAGTTCCACTCGGCTTCTGATAATAAATCCGATGGCAAAATCATGTTGAAAATCACAAAAAAACCTTCTTCCGATAAATAATTTCTAATTTCTAAGGTCGAACTACAATTTTAATATTCTCATTTATATTTTTATAAATTAATTATATATTAAATTAATATTATTCATATTTTTTTTTACTTAATATTTGAGATATTCTAATTTTTTTATTTGTTACATATATTGTCTCTTACTTTTTTTTTCCAATAATTTTTTATACTTATCATGTAATATTTATTGATTTTCTATACCTTAAATTTGTTTTTAACTTAATAATTCATTTGTTACTAAAACTATTTTTAATAAATGTATACAAATATCAGTGATTCTGTTGTATTTAATACTGGCATGTTCAGAAATTAGAAATAATAGTATTTAAATTAGTAAATAAATTAGTATTTCCACTATTATTATTAACTAATGTATGTTAGTATATTCACTTATGCAGGTTCATATATGTTACTTAGCAATTCTTGTCGTTTTTCAAACGAAAAATAACATTTTTTTCATATAAAATTATATAGTTTCATAAAATTGTATTATTATTAAAGTTAATTTAAACAATTACTGAAGTGAATCAGATTACAGTTCTTTTAGCGGTTGTGCTAGTCAGTTATAGTTAAGTAACACAATCTACGTGATCAATTTTTAATTATCCCGATTTGCTTTATTTTGTTTTCTGTATAATTTAATATGTTTTATGTTTGGTTAACAATGAGCGTTTAACTTTGGAGCTTATATAGATTATTAATTAATAGAATGTGTTGAAAATATATGTTATTTGTGTTATAATACTGATGCTTAATGAATCACGTTAAATGTATATCAAATAATTATAACAGGGTCATTTTTTCATTAATCTACATAGCATGTAGACTAATAATAATAACAATGATATTATTATATATTTAAGAAAATCGCGTTAAATATGTTTGTCTAATAAGTATTGTACTCGTATTGTTAGAACACAGTTTCATTACTATACATACAGAATGATCGATTCATCGATGACCACTATGTTTTTCCTAATATAATAATAATATTAAGATTTGTCTTAGTATTATTTCGTCGGTATAGAATCAGGGGAACGCACCAACAAAAAAAAAAAATTCTAAATAATTTTAACCAATTATTCTTGTTGAATTTTGTTTTTAGTCCACAAAAGTACTCTCACCTAAGTTATAACTTCTAAATCTAAGAGTACTAGCATTGTAACAATAATTTTTTATAAATTTTGTTAGACGTAAGACTGTCTATTTCCGGATACTCAGCAAAATCTTGTAATTCATATTTTTAATCGTTTTTTTATTTTTGTAAAACTTTTGAAACGAGGTGTACAAATTATTGTAAATATGTATAAACTACTTTTTTACGAATATGAATATCACAAGAGAAATATTTCATGCCAAATTTAAAACGTTAATGTTCAAAAACTTAACCTCGTTTCTACAGTTACAAATACAAATTTAAAAATCTTTTGCTATAAAATGATAAAATACGACTTGAGATTTTTCACACGTAGCCGACGATAACATAACGACTTATAACATCCCTAAAGAATATATTTTGAGGCAGATAAAGTACCTAGTTATGCTTATATGAATAACTGAAATATCTCATTTATACACCACATACATACGATAAATATCTAATTGTTTACACGTATGATTGAATTTTTCGTTAACAATTTTAAGCGTATGAAATTAAGAATTTCATATAGACAACCTCATCGACGCGTACACGCCAAATTGATGTATGCGAAGTTTAAAAAATAAAACGGTGAAATGGTACCAGGAGTTCATGAATAATAGTCGTATTTTTGATAGCCACCATTTTATATAAGTATAAAAGTATTGGTCGGTTAAATATATTGAAAAATAGTACCAGGGATTCAGAAGGCTAGTTTTCATTTACTCAAGGGTCGCAGTATGACGGTCGGCGTCTATTCTAGTAGCCGTTATAGCCATACGACGCAACGTGTTGGTTGTGAGCGGCAAGTGGCACAGAGCTGTTATTCGCCAAACAGCTATGCATCAAGATTTACGCTTCAAAGATGATCACACACACCATACCATTGCGCTACCACCTGTAGTGTAGTGTAATTATTTTGAATACACATTCTGTTAGCGCGAGTCACACTATAGTATGGTCTTTTATCTTTGTTTGGCTGGTCAGCAATGTGTCTTTTAGTATTAAGTCTAATCAGTGTACGTTCCACCGCTGAACCATCAGCGACGCGCTCCAATATTAATCAAGGTTACATTTGTATTTAAATATTTTCATGTAAGTTTTAATTATAAATAAAATTAAGGAACAAATATTTTGTACATTTTATTTATTCGTGTTAAATTTAATGTTCATTACATTAATCAAACAAATTAAAAAATTTTATATCAAAAAAATAAGGTTAATTGAGCGTTCGATTTTAACGGTTAATAATCCCGCTCACCAACATTTCTGGTCCTTCGATCCGCAATTATATGAATAATTAAAAAATAAATAAATTTTCGAGTACAAAAAGTGCGTATGTGCGTAAAGTTCGGGTAGTGTGTTTTAGTTATTTAAATATAGTTAATTATACTTGTTTACACTAAGCTAAAAATAATATTGGGTTTTCTTTGCCCATAAGCATACAATGGCCGAGCAGCCAGCTGTGGAGAATGCAGTATTATATGGTAGGCGAGGTACAATCAAAGGTCAACTGACAAGGTTTGTTACTTTTGTGTCTGCTGCAGCACAGAAAGGTGGGGATAGGACTTCACTCAAAGTCCGCCGACAAAAAATTGAAGAAGTATGGAATGAATTTCAAAAGATTCAGGCTGAAATTGAAGAACTCAGAGATCCAGAAAGCCCAGAAGATCCATACAGAATTCAGTTTGAAGAAATGTACTTTGAGGCAGTATCAGAGTATGAACGAATANCGTGTCTGCAGCAGCACAGAAAGGTGGGGATAGGACTTCACTCAAAGTCCGCCGACAAAAAATTGAAGAAGTATGGAATGAATTTCAAAAGATTCAGGCTGAAATTGAAGAACTCAGAGATCCAGAAAGCCCAGAAGATCCATACAGAATTCAGTTTGAAGAAATGTACTTTGAGGCAGTATCAGAGTATGAACAAATATTGGCTAGTGATCAAGCAGAAATAGAAGAAATAAATCACACGGTAGATATTCGAAACACATCACAACCACCCATAATGACGTCAACACTAACAAACAGTTGTGTATCTAATCAACCATCAATTGTAAAATTAGCGCCATTAAGTGTACCTACATTTAGCGGCAGCTATAAAGAATGGTCAACATTCAATGATATATTTAATGCGTTAATTCACGAGAACGAAGCATTAACTGATGTACAAAGGTTTTTTTATCTAAAAGCAGCTTTGTCGGGCGACGCATTGAAAGTAATACAATGCTTCGAAACATCGGCAAAAAATTATAAGATAGCATGGGATAGTTTGAACAACAGGTTCAATAATAAACGGATTTTGGTACAACAACATACAAAAGCCATTTATGACATAAAACCAGTTATCGAGGAATCAGCGGACAATCTGCGAATGTTTACTGACGATTTAGTCGGCAACATGAAAGCACTAGAAAATTTAGGCCACGATGCTAATTTATGGGGTCCTCTGATGATTCACGTCATATCAACAAAACTTGACACAAACACATTGCGAGCGTGGGAAAAGCAAGCACCAAAAACTGAAGTCTCAGAAGTCAAAGACATAATTGAATTTTTAAATAATCACTGTCAACTATTAGAAGCGGTTGAAAGTGCAAAAAGGTTAAATGAATGCGGTGACAATCAAAAAAAGGAAAAGAAACGATTTGATTATCAAAAAAGGACCGTATTGCATGCGACTTCAAAAAAATTTAAATGTTATTTATGCAATGAAACAACTCATGCTATATATCATTGCAAAAAATTTTTAGACCTAACAATAAAAGAGCGTCATCAAAAGGTTACTCAATTAAGCATTTGTAATGTATGTTTGGCTCATCATTCAGAAAACCAATTATGTAAATTTTCAGGCTGTAGGAAATGTGGAGAAGCACATAATACATTACTTCACATACCCGAAGAGCAAAGTGATGAACAAATCATAAGTACACATGTGACGTGTGCAGAACAAAAACAAGTTTTGTTATCAACAGCAATAATAAAAATTAAAAGCCATTTTAATGAAACATTCATTGTAAGAGCACTGCTCGATTCAGGCTCTCAAACTAATTTTATAACCACTGAGTTAGCGCAAAGATTAAAATCGCCACGAAAAAGAGTAAATATTAGTATATCTGGTGTAGATAATTCTAAAGGTAAATCATTTTACTCTATAACAACATTAATTCAGTCACAAAATAGTAATTACAGTAGCCAACTCGATTTTTTAACGTTATCAAAAATAACTTCATTTTTACCAAACGAAACAATAAACACAACTGGTATAAACATACCTAATAACGTTAAATTAGCTGACCCACATTACGACGTACCTGGCAAAATAGATGTACTACTCGGTGCTGAATGTTTCTATAGTATACTAAAGGCCGGTAAACATAAGGTAGATGCAACTGAAATAATTTTCCAAGAAACAGAACTAGGCTGGATAGTTGCAGGATCTGTGTCCAGTTTAGCACAAACAACTACAAAAACATTTTTCAATTCGATTGTAATTGATAACCAAGTAAATTTAAATGATTTGATGTCAAAATTTTGGCAAGTAGAAGAAATGGGTTCAAACAAAAAACTCAGCATTGAAGAAAGGTCTTGTGTCGAACATTTTGAACAAACAGTAAAACGTGAACCTACGGGAAAATTTATTGTTGAACTCCCACTGAAAAACAACGTTGAATTACTTGGTGATTCAAAGGCAATGGCGCGGCGACGTTTTCTAGCTACAGAAAATAATTTACGAAAAAATAATGATCTTCGTGTAAAGTACGTTGAATTTATGGATGAATACTTAAAATTGAATCATATGGAAGAATCGCAATCAACAAACGAAATATCATACTATATGCCACACCATGCTGTTTTACGCAACCACAGTGCAACAACACAAACCCGTGTTGTATTCGACGCATCTGCACAGTCCACTTCAGGAACAAGCTTGAATCAAATACTTATGAAAGGGCCGGTAATTCAAGATGAACTTATATGTATTTTAGCACGCTTTCGGGTACACAAGTACGTGCTGTCAGCAGATATAGCTAAAATGTATAGGCAAATATGGGTAGCTAAAAAGGATAGTTTTGCAAAAAATATTTTGGCGATCTCAACCACACGAAGAATTAAAAGAATATTGTCTGTCAACAGTTACATATGGAAGCACAAGTGTTCCATACATCGCTACGGCGTGTCTCAAAAAATTGGCAGATGAGAATTGCACTAAATATCCGTCGGCAAGCAAAGCAATTTCGACAGATTTTTATGTTGACGATTATTTGGGCGGCGCAAACACTATTGAAGAAGCCATAACACTGAGAGATCAAATAATAAAAATTACCGATAGCGCTGGGTTTACATTAAGAAAATGGATATCAAATGAACCGTCATTGTTGTCAACTATAAAGAACATAAGTAATGACCCACATTATGTTATGAATATTGACGGCAGCGCAATAAAAACGTTGGGCTTATTGTGGAGTCCATGGGATGATTATTATCAATACAAATATAATGACATCGAATCAAGTAAACAATCGAGTTCTAAACGTACAATATTATCTACTATAGCAACAATATTTGACCCGCTCGGACTAATAGGACCGGTTGTAGTATCAGCGAAAAAGATAATGCAACAGCTATGGCAACTGAAAACGGATTGGGACGACGAGCTGCCCGCACACATTAGTCGGGAATGGGAAGCGTATCGTAACGAACTAGTAGATATCGAAAAAATAAAAATACCGCGAAGAATAATTGGTTGTAACAATGTGTGCGACATGCAAATTCACGCTTTTGCGGACGCGTCGATCAGTGCATACGGTTCGTGTATTTATTTAATGGCAAAAGACGCAGACGGGTCGCGTATAGTTCGACTTATTGCGTCAAAATCGCGAGTCGCTCCATTAAAAGTTATTTCACTCGCGCGACTGGAACTGTGTGCCGCCGTATTATCAGTGCGTCTCGTCAATAAATTAATTCCAAAACTTAATTGTTGTACAAGTAAAATATGGTATTGGTCAGACTCACAAATCGTTCTTGCATGGATAAATTCACCATCCTCTCGATGGAAAACGTTTGTTTCTCACCGCGTCGGAGAAATACATAACACTTCTACGGCTGCGCAATGGAAGCACGTACGTTCAAGGGATAATCCGGCAGATATCATATCCCGAGGATGCAGTCCAAAAGCACTAATAGAAAATAAATTATGGTGGACAGGTCCAAGGTGGCTAACTCATGACGAATCAAATTGGCCTAATAACAATTGTCAAAAAATTATAGTAGTAAAAGATGATTTAGAAGAAAAACAATTCGTAGTCACATTAACAAAAATTGAAAAGTTTGATATCACGGAACGGTTTTCATCATTAACTAAATTACTCAACATAACAGCGTATATTCTAAGATGGAGAAAAATTGTAAGAGTTAAGCGGTCGTCAAATTCAAAATGTATTTACACTATTTACATCGACCCAGAAGAAACTATTCGGGCTAGACAAAAATTATTGTTAGTCGTGCAATCTCAATATTTTTCTGAAGAATTACAATGTTTACATAAAGGAGAGTCAATAAAAAAGAAGAGTAAATTGTTTTTTCTTAGCCCTTTCGTCGACAATAATGGTTTAATTCGTGTTGGTGGCCGGTTAAATAATTCAGCGTCCATTAGTAACGATAGAAAAAATCCAATTTTACTACCATCAAAATCAGCTTTCACTATGCTACTATTCAAGTATGAACATATTCGATTGCTGCATTCTGGGCCACAGGCTTTATTAGCGGCTGTTCGTGAACAATATTGGCCCATCAATGGACGAAATATAGCAAGATATACTGTGCATAAATGCATACCTTGTTTCAAATCTAAACCAATGGTATTTCAACCGATTATGGGCAACTTACCGAGCACGCGAGTTACAAGTTTCGACAAAGCATTTTATGCAACGGGCGTGGATTTTTGTGGGCCTATCTATATTAAAAATAGTTTAAGACGAAACTCTACTAAAATAAAGGCATATGTATGTATTTTCGTGTGCTTTTCTTGTAAGGCCGTTCATATTGAACTAGTAGGTGACTTAACAACAAATGCGTTTTTAAGCGCACTGAAACGAATGTGGAGTCGTCGAGGTATCTGGAAAATTTATTTATTCAGATAACGCCACAAATTTCGCAGGAAGCAACAATAGATTGAAAGAATTAAAAAATTTATTTTTATCAAAAATCACCAAGAAGCTGTGAAAAATTGCCNTCAAAAATCACCAAGAAGCTGTGAAAAATTGCCTTGCCTCTGTCAATGTAGAATGGCGATTCATCCCAGCCCGTTCACCACACTTTGGCGGTTTATGGGAGTCGGCAGTTAAATCAGTAAAAACACATTTAACGAGAACATTGGGTGAAGCATCACTTACTTATGAAGAGTTAAACACAGTGTTAGTTCGCATCGAAGCGTGTTTAAATTCTCGACCCTTGATACCATTATCTACGGATCCTTCAGATCTCAGTGCACTAACTCCAGCTCACTTTCTCATCGGTCGATCATTAATTGATATCCCAGATCCAGACGTTATGAACATCACACCTGGGCGATTAAAGCGATGGCAAAGAGTCACACAATTGGTACAACAGGTTTGGGAACGTTGGCGAACTGAATACTTGTCAACATTGCAATCAAAATCTAAGTGGCATACCTCAGCCGGTCTCACACCTGCTGTTGGCGCACTTGTATTAATAAAAGAAACCAATCTACCACCATTGGAATGGAGACTCGGACGAATTACTGAATTGTTTCCAGGCATAGATAATATAGCCAGAGTAGCAACTGTTATGACAAGTCATGGTGTTGTCAAAAGAGCATGTCGATTATTATGTCCACTCCCAATTGAAGATCAAGAAGAATAATTAGGGTAAATAAATAAATATATGTATATTTTTGTTTATAAATGTTATTTATGTTAAAAAAAAAAATTTTGTTTATCTAAAAATTTTGATGTTTATTATTAATTATTTATTTAATTAT